CGATCACGGTTACATTTACTACACTGGGCACGAGAATTGAAATTTTTAAGAGGAGAAATGTATTAAAAGACACCGCTTACTTATAAAAGAAGATTTTCCACGACATGTTCTAGAAAAAAAAGAGAACTGCAAGAACAAGTAAATATTGAAAAAGAAAAAGGAAACTTCGCCACTATCAAATACGACAAACTGATAATACACAACAAAAACACAGATAATTCAAACATTAAAAAAAGGGCTCTACCAATATCACCAAATTTCAAAGATATATCGCAAACAGAACCAAAAGCACAGGCTAATAAGAAGAACAAAACTGGAATAAAAATACAAAGATCATCAAGCATATCAGAAGGGGTGATCAAACCAGGAATACTCAGTTTCCTAACAACTAATACCCGAACCACTAACAACGAAAACATTGTACCTAACGCCCAAATAAACCAAAATAAAAAACAATAACAATTACGGCCCTCTCTCACGAAGAACAAATTACAAACAAAGACGAATATCAAACCACATCTTCCAATCCGGCCGGTCACCGTGGAAGATTACGACCAAAACCCTCCAGAGAAAACACCAACAAGAATCCATCGCCACGACATCTTACATATAATGTCCTACAATGTTAAAACCCTATCAACTTATCCACGTCTACTGGAACTAACAGAATCCGTAAGAAACGTAAAATATGATATTATAGGTCTCTCTGAAACCAGGAGACTCGGCAATAAAATAGAAGAACACGAAGAATTCATTCTCTACCATATTGGAAGTACACCAGGATTGTATGGAGTAGGCTTTATTATCAAAAAACATTTAAAGAAACATATAATATGTTTTAAGGGACTATCAGAAAGAGTAGCGCTTTTAAAAATACAAATCAATAATTTAGACCTAAGTATCATTCAAGCCTACGCCCCAACAGAATCTGCGAAAAAAGAAGAAATAGATCTTTTCTACAATACTGTCGATAGCGCCATACAACTTTCAGGAAATAACCTAATAGTCATGGGCGACTTTAACGCCAGAGTTGGGCAACCTAGACCAAACGAAACCATCACGGGAAAATACGGCTACGGAGAAAGAAATAGTAGAGGAAGTCGACTCATTGATTTTGCGCACGCGAACAACTTAAGCGTTATGAATACTTATTTCAAAAAGAACAACAAACAGAGATGGACCTGGAGATCACCGAATGGTTATACAAAAAATGAAATAGACTTCATTTTAACAAATTTACCAAAAAATATAGACAACATACAAGTCTTAAATATCACTTACCCTTCGGACCATAGACCGATTAGGGTAACTTTCAATATATTCTCAAAACCAAAAAACCGTAATCAATTCGGCCAAAGCACCAGGTCACAGTTAAGGAACGAAAATGAAATACAAACTTATGTCAAATCACTAAACAGTTGTGTCACTAATCTGCTCGAAGACTGGGATGACGTACAGAATGGCTACGATAAAATAACAAACGCAATTAATACCAGCTTAAAAAAAGCACAAGAACTGTCATCCAACACCGCCACAAAGATAAACCAAGTTTTATCAGCACGTACAAAAGTATTAATCAGCAGAAGGCAAGCTTTACATAAGTTAAAACCGAAAACAAGAGCTATGAAAAACGAACTACGAGCTCTATATAAGCTCATTAGCAAACGTATCAATCAAGACTATAAGGCACATCGCACACAAACTATTGAAAAACATCTTCAGGTCACGGGAAGCGTCAAGAAGGCGTATAAAGAACTGAGAACACACAAATCATGGATTGAAGAGTTGAAAAATAAATCTAATACACAAAATCGAAAAGAAATACTTAAAATAGCAACAGATTTCTACAGTAACCTTTATAACTCGCCAAATCAACCACCATTTAAATTACCGAGCAATAGAGAGGAAGAGCCGAAAGCAACTATTGATGAAGACGAAGTGCTGAAAGGAATTAAATCGTTAAAATCAGATAAAAGTCCCGGACCCGACAGGATTAACAACGAAGCCATAAAACTAGGATGTAAACATCTAATCCAACCTCTAACTAGACTTTTCAACATGATACTGAGCTGCAAAAACTCTCCACGCCAATGGTCAGAGTCGGAAATCATTTTGCTCTACAAAAAGGGTGATCCAAACGACATCAGCAATTATAGACCGATTAGCCTACTACCTTCATTATATAAACTTTTTTCCTCCATAATAGAGAAAAAAATAAAGGAAACCACAGAAAAATTCCAACCCATAGAACAGGCAGGCTTTAGACGAGGTTTCTCTACGACTGACCATATACACTCGCTAGAGATGGTTATAGAAAAATTTCAAGAGTTCAACAGACCACTCTATGTCGTTTTTATTGACTATCAAAAAGCATTCGACACCCTACTTCACCCGTCGATCTGGAAAGCTCTACTCTCTCAAGAAGTAGCATTGGATTACATACAAGTCCTAAAAAACATTTATGACAAAAATACTAGCAGAGTCAAGCTAGAGACCACTGGGCCACCAATACAAATAAAAAGAGGCGTCAGGCAAGGAGACCCTATCTCCCCTACAATCTTTATAGCGGTACTAGAGTCCATCTTCCGCAACCTAAACTGGAAGAAAGCCGGCATTTATATAAATGGCAGTTACTTGAGTCATCTCAGATTTGCTGACGACTTAATTTTATTATCTGAAAACTCAAACCAGCTACAATTGATGATAAACTCTCTACACGAAGAAAGTCGAAAAGTAGGATTGGAAATTAACATAAATAAAACAAATGTTATGACGAACCACACTAAAATACCATTATATCTTGAAAACCTACCTTTAACCTATGTTGACACCTACATTTACCTGGGAAAACAAATCTCATTCAACCCACACAATAACGCAAGAGAGGTAGAGAGAAGAGTCAACATCACTTGGAAAAAATTCTGGAGTCTTAAGGAAATTCTGAAAAGCGATATGACCATAAAGCTGAAAAGCAAAGTCATGAATACCTGCCTACTACCCTCTCTAACTTATGCCTGTCAAACATGGAAATTTACAACGAAAATAAAAAACAAGATTTTAACAACTCAAAGAAGTATGGAGAGAAGCATTCTGAAAATTAGAAAAATCCAAAAAATCCGCCATATAGACATCAGACAGAAAACTAAAGTCATCGATGCCCTCAGTTACGCACAGAAATTAAAATGGCGATGGGCAGGACATGTAGCTAGACTCAGTGACAACCGCTGGACAAGAAAAACAACATCATGGTTAGGACCTTCAGGTCAAAGAAGAAAGGGTAAACCAAATGCACGCTGGACAGACGACATCTTAAAAATAGCAGGAAAAAACTGGATGCGAATAGCAGAAGATAGAAATCACTGGCTATCTCTGGAGGAGGCCTTTACCTTCCAAGAGAGGGGTTCTTGAAAGAAAAGGAGGAAAGAAGAAAGACTTTTTGTAACTAACGGATACTTAGTTTTCAATGTATTTTTTTTTGTTTTTATTTTTATAGCAAGAAATAAAAGGCTTTTTTATTTTTTTTTATTTATTTATTTATTTATGAGGTGTTTGTCTAGGGCGCTCTATATGTTTAATCCGCATCTGATAAGTGGGTTTACCATATTCATCGCAGACAAGTTGAAGATCGTAGTTTACAAAGTTCAGGTTTATCAGAGAGCGCTGCTGCCCCCGGTCCCTTCCCGCGGTTCTCAAATACCCGACTAAGGGACTACACATTTGACAGAGACCGGGCAGCAGCGCTCTCTGATAAACCTGAACCTTTTACACTGCGGTCTTCAACCTCACTGATGGAGCCCCGGACGGCTGATGCCCGATACGGAGCCGGTACAGACTTAACGGGTTACTGAGGATCTAGTTCGAAGAGCATGAGTAAGAACAGAGTGGTTTTTAGTCAGTAAGAGTCTGATACTTCCTCTCGCCTCACCCAAGACGGGAAAGTCCTTGGATGATTATTATACAAAGCATGGACATTATGGCAAATTCCCCTTATGTAGAAGAGATTCTTTACTCCACAGTAAATTTTCACGTAAACATGATTGATTATAGACACAGAGAACTAACCCTTATCTACTCATATATCGAGTATATAAATAAAAAACCGAATACGGATTTATATAAATTAAGTGTGGGAGAGCCATGCTTCAGCACAAATGGGCCGGCTCTACCGGAGTGATACCACGGCCTCATAGAAAACCGACGAGAAGCAACGCTTGCGTTTTGTCGTGTGAGTGAGGTTACCGGCGGCCCAATTACACTCCCCTTCCCCAATCTCCCCAATTCCTGAATCCTCAACGATCCTCAAACTCCTAATCCCCAAAACCGACCGGCCATAACGCACTTGTAACACCCCTGGTGTTTCAGGTGTCCATGGGCGACGCCGATTGCTTACCATCAAGTGATCCGTCTGCTCGTTTACCGGCTTAAGCAATAAAAAAAAATATATACTCACATCTGTACAATCACAGAGAGGTATGAAACAACAGCTGACACTATTAATGCACCCCATCGTTCGTATGAGACTGAAACTCGATCAAAATATTTTATATAACATAATATAATATTGTTTCTATCTAATTCTTTATCGGATATCGACTTTATCTATGTACCTATACCATTCGTGGTATAATGACGTGTTCTGTAGGACAATTCGTATGAATATTTTGACATTAGGACGAGTGCAGATGTGTGGAATCCGAATAGTCGTTGCGAGTTTCGGCCTTAAATTTTTAGGCCGAATAATGTATATTTATACGCAGTGTTGATTAGGTTATTGTTTATAAATGAAGTAACAAAGCATCGCGCCTTTATACCCTGAAGAATAAGACAGAGGTGCACATTACGGCACTTAATGCCACTGTACAATGTAACATCCACTTTTTACTATGAATATAAATGAAGTATTTTGGAACCATATTTTGCAACATAATAGGGGAAGACGATGTCGCATTAAGCAGTTGCCTCTCGTATAGCAGGCTGTACTTAGGCTACTCTCTGCTTACCATCAGACCATCCATTGTTTCTATCGATAATTGTATAAATAGTAAAAGATGAGCCAATCTAATTCCATTTTGGTCACATCATTTTATCCAATTCCTCCCCTCCCCAATTTTCCTAATTTTTTTTTATTGTAACTCTCTTGGTATTGTGGATGGTGTCCATGAGCGAAGCCGATTGTTTACCATCAGGTGACCGTTTGTTGGCCTATCCCATGAAAAATTCACCTTTAAACCGCAACGAACGAGATCCAAGACAATTGTTAATTTCCCTGAGATGCGGTTGTATCTACGTACTGTAGATCCTGGAGCACAGAAGTTGCAATGGTTTTAGGATGTTGTAGTGAACTTTATCACGTTTAATCATAAAAACCGAACGCCGAAAGCCGAATACTCATCCGCCAATGTGATCCTAGTATTATATTTAAATAGACATTCAAATAATCTTCAGATAATAATACAGAAAATTATTACCTATTTATTTATTATTATAATACATATATTATGTTACATAAAAAACCCACGGACAGGAAAATTTTCGTAATTTTTCAGTAATTATCTGTTATTTTATATTGTTTATAAGTAATTCGATATTTGTAAGCCTAAAGAAGTGATTTTAAAGCTGAATCATATCATGATAAGAGTCTGTTTGCTATCAAGAACACTCCATTTCCGTCCTCTGTTGGAATTTGGGTCTCACCTACAATCCTTCCTTTTTTGAAATCGAGTTTTTTAAATGTTAAAAGCCGGTAAACCAACGGCAAGTACCAATGTGACTTTTTCCGAGTTATATGTACTTTCTAAGATTATCTAGACACCACTGACAAACGGTGAAGGAAAACATCGTGAGGAAACCTGGGCATAAAGTTTGTAATAGCCAACCCGCATTGAGGAAGCGTGGTGATTATTGTTCAAACCTTCTCCGTGTGAGAAGAGGCTTTGCTCAGCAGTGGGCATTTATAGGCTGTTGATGAAGCCGGTAAACAAGCAGACGGATCACCTGATGGTAAGCAATCGGCGTCGCCTATGGACACCTGGAACACCAGAGGCGTTACAAGTGCGTTACCGGCCTTTTTGGGATTAGGAGTTTAAGGATTATTGAAGATTCAGGGATTGAGAAGATTGGGGAAGAGGGTAATTGGGCTCCCGGTAACCTCACTCACACAACGAAATACAACGCAAGCGTTGCTTCACGACGGTTTTCTGTGAGGCCGTGGTATTACTCCGGTCGAGCCGGCCCATTCGTGCCGAAGCATGGCTCTCCCACACTTAGAAAATAACATCACTTGTTTTTTTCATTTATTATTTGATAGTACGGCAAAGCAGTAGTATGTCGTGGTGGCCCGAAGGTTTAAGACGCCCGCTTCTCAAACATGCGGGCTCGAGTTCGAAACCTACCAACGGCAAGTACCAATGTGACTTTTTCCGAGTTATATGTACTTTCTAAGATTATTTAGACACCACTGACAAACGGTGAAGGAAAACATCGTGAGGAAACCTCGGCTTATAATTTCTAATTATAAGTTTGTAATCGCCAACCCGCATTGAGCAAGCGTGGTGATTAATGCTCAAACCTTCTCCGTGGGAGAAGAGGGTTTGCTCAGCAGTGGGCATTTATAGGCTGTTGATGATGACGTCAACGTAGAAGTATTAAACTTTTTAAACTTCATTACAAAACTAGATTCTGCCTTCAACTTCGTTCGCGTAACTTTAGGTAGGATTCTAGTTCAGTTCTGTCTATTAGACTGCCTCGTTGGCCGAGTGGTCGCAAGTGCGACTGCTGGGTAAGGTGTCTCGGGTTCGATTCACGTGTCGGGCAAAGTATTATTGGGTTTTTCTTAAAAAATCTCAGTAGTAGCACGGAGTCTGGAATTGTGCCCGGTATATGGCAATAGGCTCACCCCATATTACATGGGACTCATAATATAAATAGTGAAAAGTGGGTGTTACTTCTGAGTGCACCTCTGCCTATCCCTTCGGGGATAAAAGGCTTGATGTTATGATATTTCAAGTAAGTTTGTAATTGTCAACCCGCATTGAGCAAGCGTGGTGATTAATACTCAAACCTTCTCCGTGTGAGAGGCCTTTGGTCTCCGTGTGAATACCACGAAGTCTGGAATTGTACCCAGTATATGGGAATTGGATCACAATATAAATAGTGAAAAGTGGGTGTTACATTGTACAGTGGCATTAAGTGCCATAATACGTTCCCCTGCGGGGATAAAAGGCGTGATATTATGTAATGTAATTCTTTAGTTCGTTTTTTCGAAAAAAAAGTGAAATAAATGTTCATTTCGAGTTAACTCATCGTAACCCACCATTTCGAACCCTTTTGATGATATAGCAGCTAGGGCTTTATGCAACTCAGCATTTACTCAATTTACAATTGCATTGTATAATGACATTAGATAGCCAGTCTAATCGCGATCACCAGCTAAATAACATCCTGTATTGACTAATTAATATAATTAAATTGTAATTATTAAATAAATATTTTTTTAATCAAAATCCCGACCGCCGAAACATAACTGGCGCAGTCGGTAGGATTCGCGACGCTCGAATTTCGAATATACCTCTTCGGGACAAGAGTGACGGTTCTTAAATCGTTCCTTCGCGATCCGCAACGAACCTATCGTGCGGTCGGACACCTTTATAATCATCGGGATAAATCTTCCGGAGAATTGGAGGAAGCTGCGCTGATTGAGAAGAGACTCGACAGGAGATGCAGTGGCTATTTTGGTAAGTACTCTCGTTTTACCAAGTGTCCTTGCTCTATTTCCCGTCTTAGTTTATATGTGTATTTTATTATATTGATAAGTGTCTGTCTATAAGCTATAATCGCAGTAGGCAACCACTCGTAATTTCTTAGAATAAACTTAGGTGTAGAATTACTCACATTGTTTCGCACCGAGTGCCACTAGACAGTTAAGTTATAGAAGTACAATGTCGCTCAGAGATTATGATGCTAACTATAAACCATATAAACTAATTGCAGATTTAATGCCAAAATATGATGGTAATCCTAGATTATTGAACTATTACATTAGAGAGGTAGAATGTCTATTAAATTTAACTAGTGAAGCAGATCGTTCACATCCAGCATTAATATGTTTAATTAAGAGTAGGCTCAGTGGTACGGCCTTGGATGCAATAGCATATGAAGATAGTCTTAATTCGTGGATCGCCGTTAAAAATGCGTTAATTAGACGTTTAGGTGAACCACGTAATGAAATCCAGGTTATGCAGGAGCTCACTAGAGTGCGTAGGGCTAAGACAGAGGATGCCGAGACCTTCGGTAAACGTCTTCGTGAGTTATTAGATACCCTCTATTCTGTAGGTGAGCACGGCAACAAATCATACTATGAGAAGATGGTTATTGAGCAATACGTCAACCAGTTAGACTTCCACGTGTCTCTAGGTGTAAGGATAGCCAAACCAGATACCTTCGAAGCAGCTATCATAACGGCTAGGCAAGAGGAGGCTAGGCTTGCATACAATAGACAAAGCTATTTTAACCCTTCAACGTCTCAAGCGAAACCAAAGGAGTACCTAAACTCAAACTAATAATAACCCCCTTCGTAACCAAGTAAATCCATTCGCACAGACTAACTTCGGTAACCAACCAGTTACCCCATTTATACCCCAACCGAATTTGTACCTCAACAAAACAACCTTACCCCCGAGCAACGTCAGCAGTGGATTCAATCCATGTTGCCATGGAAGAACAGACCATCATCAGGTAATTTCAGACCAAATGGTTCAGGCAATTTTAGGAGCGGAAACTTTAGGAACCAGCCTAACATTCCAAAACCACCGGTTCCCACGCCCGTGTCATCTGACGTTACAATGCGTACGGCAGGTAAGCCAGAAAAAACCACAGTTTGCTTCTCAAGAATTGTTCTACATGCCAAGTCAAATAAACATTCAGGATCAACTAGGACCCAGTGATGAAGATTACTCCAACCATATCACTGATGGTAATGACTTAACTAGCTCATACCAAAATATGACCTTGGATGAACAAGAGGTAAGTTACGATCAGGATTTTACCTTGGATATCAACCAAGACAACCGGAGCTAGTATCGATTAATTTTCAAGACAAGAAATTCCTACCATACGTTATAATACCAGAGTTCGACGGTAAGTTCTATTAGACACAGGTGCTAGTCACTCTACCATAGCAACAGACGTTATCGCAGGTACTATATTCGTAGTACTGTGTTGAAACCGAACTCTTTCTTATTAAAACGGCTCATAGTTCATCAGTTCACGATAAGGTAGTGTATCTTCCGTTACCTCCCGCGTTCAATAGTGATATAACACATAAATTTTTAATATTCGATTTCGACCCTAAGTATAAAGGAATTATTGGTTGTGACCTTCTACAGAGATTAAAGAGTAACATTGATTTAAATAATAACGTGTTACGTACATCTACAGCGGAAATACCTATACACTTTACTTCGCCACCCCGTAAGATATATGTCGACTCTAGATGCGAAAAGTTAGTTAAGGTGAAAACTAATTATTCGGACGGACAATACTTACACGACGACTTTGTATGGTCAGACGGTCTAGTATCCCCCGCAGCTATAGTTAACGTTATCAACGGTTCTTTTAACACATCGGTAATTAATTACAGTGACCAAAAGAAATGTATTCCGGTTAACCCGTCAATCGAGCTTGAGTCATATTCACACTCTAATAAAATTAATAATTGCGATATTAACAGCGCACAAATACAAACTGATATTGATCAAATATTAGTTGAGAACCTTAAGAAAATTCAGACAGATCACATGAACGAGGAAGAAAAACGAGATAACCGGTTATGTTATCAGTACAGAGAATTATTCCATTCAGAGGATATTCCACTCACCTTTACGCACGCTGTCAAACACGAGCTTAGACTGAGTGATGAAACTCCGATATTTGTACGAAATTATAGGCAACCCCCTCAACAACGCGAAGAAATTCGTAAACAAGTAGATAAACTTCTCCAACAAGGTGTAGTGCGAGA